GTCCCTGATGTAAGTACGACAGGAGGAACCCGCAATGGCCTCTTTCAAAAGATTTGTTTCTAAAATATGTTCTCTCTCTTAGAGCTGTCATCACTCTTTGCATGGGTAGCTGCCCTGGGAAGATGTGATAAGTGGTAGGACAGTCTAGGAGGAAGAGAAGAGCTGATCTGTAGACGTGTATACATGGTGGTAACCTGGGACTTGATTCATTCCCACTCACTTTACCACAGTCTTCCTGTGTGACACTGGAGACACCATTTAATCTGTTCATGCCTCAGTTCCCAAACTTTAAACTGGGAACTTCTGTGTTCCCATATCCATGGTAATAATGTGAGGACCAGGTGGTGCTTGGAACAACCATCAACAAAAGCCACATGTGTGCATACAGATGGGTATATATGCCAAGGTGAAGCTAGAATTACAAACTCCAAAGCTCTCTGGAACTGAGGAATGGACTGGGTCATCATAAAAACAGGCATTGGTTACAGAGGGTCTGAGCCAGGTTCAGATATCAAGTGTCACCTCAAGCAGAGGAGGTAACTTGGACTTGAGACAGCATTTTGAACTTGTTAGTGTTCATGGGGCATGGAAGCCAACACTGGGTCCTTACTCACACCCAACTTGCACATACTGAAAGTCTTCGTCACATTGGCAATAACAAAACTTTTTCCACCCTTTTGTGGTGTCAGTCTCTACCCCGGTGCAGAGTTATCTGATTATTTTCCCCCTGCAGGGCTCTCTTTCTGGCTAGATCTTCTATCCTTAAAGTTCCCATATGGTTCTAAGTAAACACTGCCATTTTAACATATTAAAGCAAGTATCATCTTGGCAGCTCTCATTCACGTTGCTGCAAACTCAACCAAACCAAAGTGGTTTGAACGCTACAAAAGTTTACTTTAGCTGCTCTGGTTTTGCTTTACGTTTTACTATGCGGCCTAGTTATTCCTGCCAATTAGCCCGTGGTGTTATGACCTGCTTTAGTGGGAAGAAATAGGAGACAAGCTACTATTTCTTTCTGATGTAGAAAATGAGAAAATTCTGGGCTCGAATTTGGGATCTGCCAGAGTGTATTAAAAGCTTAACTGTGGCATGTAAGGCCCAGGAGGCACCTCTGATAGACATATTTACTAAAGCAGAGGCACATAAATTTTTATGGATATTTATTGGGAACTGAAGAGCTGCTCCTAATTTAATTTATTTGGCACTTCATCCATAGATTTCCAAGTCTTTACTGAAGTCAGCTGAATCACCCCAAGCTATATAGCCAATGGCAAGGGTTGTAATCCAACCCACGGATCTCCATCCTCTTCTACACTGCTCTTTCCCCACAAATATGTTGTGGATTGCAGCCGTCAGGAATGCAGAGGGATGCAGCCTCCAGCAAATAGGACTTCCATCAGGAATTAGCTTGATTTGGTCACACTGCTCAGATCTAGATAAAACACTGCATGGTTGGACCCCTGGGCTGCGCAGTCAATGCCATATGTAGACAGTAGGATTCAATATGTGTTTGAGTTCATCAGGTCAAACTAGTCCCACAAGCCACCCCTAGATTACTCCTGCACACCAAAGGATAACTGTGTTGTTGATGGGAACTCTCTAGGCATGCAGATGACCACACTAACTATGACAGGTAGCCAGTGATGACTATTTCTGCCTTCTGTGGCTGACTGCTGGGAAAGGAGCTAAAAGCAGCATCGTTGCGAAGAGTCTGGTCTCTGTCATCACAGATAATTAAGTAGTTTAAAAAGGCAAAGCCATTTGAGTATTTCTTTGAAGAAATGCAGCCAAGGTGAAGGAGTTAATAGAGGTGATTCTGGACAGCCTCCAGCAGCTGAGCTATTAATGAAAACAATGGAAAAATGCCAAACCTCTTCTGTTTTCTTTAGCAATTAGTATACATTCCTTTAAACTTTTAAGCTGCAGACTCCACAGCTATCTGAGCAGAAGGAGCACTTCTATTTGAGGTCCCTTTTCACAGCTGTCTCCCGCGTGTCACTCACTAGCATACTGCTTTCCTGTCTCTAGTCTTCAATAGGGAGGGAACTGACTAGTAGAAAAGGCTACTACTACTAGAAAAGAAGGATTTGATTTTTGTTTTCTTGCTCGTTCTATCCTTTTCCCTCACCTCTTAACCATATGCTACATGGATGAGTAAAACCCACTTCAGCTGCACTGATGCTTTAAGAATTTCAAATGGGAAGCTTAACATGCTTAAAGCAAAGTCAGCCTTTGATGGAAACCATGCAGGCAGAGCGAGTCTAGAGAAGCAGATCACAGATAGTCACTTGTTGTTTGGCATTCTCACTTGACTGAATCTGTGAATGAAAACACATGGTCAGACTCAGAAATATCTTTTCTCTTGCTGTCTTTCTGTGTTTTCTCTTTCTGCTGAGATAGCCCAGAGCAGTATACTGCAAGGATGTGTTAGACATCGAGCAATTCTCCACAGTGAAAGGAGTTAACCTGGACCAAACAGATGATGATTTCTATTCCAAGTTTTCCACAGGATCAGTGTCTATTCCATGGCAAAATGAGGTAAGGATGTATCATAGTAAAATTACACCAGTAAAACCCCTGACACAGATGGTTTAAGAGGAGCTGTATATTTCCAGTAATATATAGCTACTGGATAACTTGCCAGACTCTAATGCTTTCATAAGTTACAAATGGCCTCTTTCAAGATCTGTAGTATACCACAGATGGCTGGTTCAGGTGACTGCATCTGTAGGCTCTGCATATTTGTGTAAATTGGCAAGGATCCTACTGTACTTCCTTCTCCTGGGTTTCTACAGAGGTGTTCCAACACAGCTCTCAGGAACTTCTGTGGGCTGGCTGGAAGTCCTAATGGAAGGCTTCAACACTGGTGATCCTGATCTCACCCTTTGTCTTGTATCTGCAGCGCATCCCAGCTGCAGCAATTGGCTCTGGACCTTCAACTGCTCCGGGGTTTCCAGATCTGGGTCTTTGTTTCTGTTTGATATCAAAACACAACCAACAGTCGATTTCACAAGCCACCTCTGGATCAAACAGCAGATCCACTTAGGCAGAGGGGTGCTAATAGCTGGGATTTTGTGAGTGTGCCTGTCTTTACCCAGTGTTCTCAGGCCTGAAGAAAAGAACAGAAAGCTTTATGAGGCAGCTTCTAAGAAGGCTGGTGTGCAAACATGCACAAAGCAGACTTAGCCTCTCTTTTTCATACATCCTATTTGTCTTCTATAGCCAAGAGCAGGAATTCAGCTGTTAACTCCCCTAACATATTGCTGGAGCTGCTGGTCCTGATGCTGACTTTGAACAACCCAGCCCTACTGGAATATATTTAATGCAGATGTATAATTTCTTTTTTTCTTTCTTATTCTATCCTGCTAGATGATAGAAACAGAGTGTTTCAAAGAACTGAATGTGTTTGGACCAAATGGTACTATTTCACCAGACCTAAACAAAAGCTACCCCCCAGAGCCACCCAAGAAAGGATTGCTACAGAGAATATTTAAACGACAGGTGAGATCTTTCATGGCTAAGACATGGAAAATCCCATAGATGCCAAGTTCACAGCCATGTTCTAGTGGTACTTTACACTACGTATCCCAGATTTCCCATCTACCTGTTGGGGTTTTTTTTTGCCAGCAGAAGTTCCACTATTGCTCATGAGCTTTGTTTCCAGCAGTTGAGAACTTCTTACCCAACCTATTTTTCAGCCATGTGCTGAAATGCCTTTTGAAATGGTTATATGGTTTTAATAAGTTCTTTATGAAAGTCCTTGATTTGTGTTTTTAAAGAAAAGACAGGTTTTGAGTGCAGTAGTCTCAAGACACGAGAGCAGACTGAATACTAGATGATGTACAGCTTCCATGAGGCACCATGGCTCCACTAGCAAATCTAAGTAACATTCTCAGACCAGTCTGTTTCTGTAGGGTTAAAACCATACCTGAGCATTGGCAGGTGTCCTCTGTATTAGTCAGAGTTAGCAGGTCCTGATGTTTTGCAGTGAATTGATTTGACTCCTGGAGCTCTAGTGAGTCTTCTTTGCTGGATTCCTCAAGAACTGCCATGGTCCTCCTGACCTAGAGAGAATATGGGTAAGAAAGTGAAGAATATTTTACATCTAAAGATCTTCAAACAAAAATCTTGCAGTCCAGTCAGTACGTTACCGCCGTAAAATGCAGAGTGTTGGACTGAAAGAAAGCATGGCATATTTGGGGAATCTAACTATCATTGTCTTCCTCTTTCTACAGCATCAGAATAATTCAAAGAGTTCTTCAAATTCAAAGGCCAGTTTAAATCACCACATAAATTCAAATCACGTAAGTTCAAACTCCACTGGAAGCAGCTAGTTCCAGTTCAGTTCTACGAAACAACATGTTGCATCCTTCCACTATAATCTATGGCGCTTCTATGGATGAGAGAGCCTCCACCATTGAGTGAAAATAAAAAGAATCTCCCCAAAAGGAGATTTTCTATCCATTCCTTCCAGTGGAGCCTCGCATTTTAAGAAGAATTTTCCACTCAGGTCTGTTTTTGGAGGTGGCACTCAAGACTGTGTGAATCAAATTTGTCTCTTTAGAACATTGCAATAGAAATTCAATGAACATGACTACTTGCACGTATTTAACTAGCATCATACTAGAACTGAATTTTGTCTTTATTATTTTTAAAGGAAAGTTTTGTAAATTTCTCTATTGTCTCAGTTTACATTTTGTACATTTGTATTTAAATGAAAGTCAGACTTTGGAGGTGTATATTTTCCAAGCAGCAGCTGTAAAGCCATGTGTTTTAAGACATTTTTTTAAGAGAAAAAGAAAAAACCAACAATGTGACTCGAGACTTCCAGAGCCTCAAACAAGAAATCATTCTTTTTAGTAATTCTAGAGAATTATTCATAAATCACTTTATCAGACTGGGGTTTATTGACATGCATTTGTATGGAACAGTTTATTCTTAATTATTTTGCATCTGTATATTTGGTTTACAGCAACACTGCATACATTTCTCCTCTTCATTAGTTTGTAACGTCTCGCATTAAATGCTGAAAGACAAGATTTTGATGCATTCAAGAATGCTACTTGCTATGCCTAAGGTTTGGGATGTCATGGGACCAGCACAGCTGAGATTTTCACTTCCTTATGTTGTTAGCTCATCAGAAACTGTTTCGTTAGAAAGGGAAGCCTATTTTAAGCCCTTGTGCTTCACTAGTTTTTGTGCTGTTTCTAATCACAGCACGAACAAAACTGAGTGAGAGGCGACCAGGAAAGCAAATGACCATTTGTTTTTCAAGGACTTGGAATCTGCACCTGCTGAAATGAGAGCAAAACTTAAGTGTTCCCCATGCTGCAGTCAAAAGGCCACGACTTCTCCACAGATGCTCATATCAAAGAGGTAGCAAGAGAGAAATCCAGTAGTCTGGTTTGTTCTGACCAAGAGATTCATGACAGCTTTCTAGAGCTGTGGAGGTTCACAGTGGGATCTGATCTGCTTTTGAGCAGTAGCAGAACCTATAGGTTGCATCTGCACTGCCATGTTCATGCCAAACACACCGTGGCTTGTCCCCTCAGTTAGGTTACCAACTCAATTGAATAAAATGTCAGTCATGAAATAATACCCCCCACTTTTGATTCCGTCATTCTTTGTCCAGGATCTTCTAACCATTGATGAAAACATTGTTCCCACTAATATAAACAGGGTCAGGCAGGATCAGTAGCAGCACCTCGGGCATCAGAATCATTCTCGTCTCAAGTATGTCACTATCTATAGTTGATAAGTACACCAGATCAGAAATATGGTTACTTCCCTTCAACAGGAATTGGAAAACCTTTGTCCCCCCAAGTGCAGACAGGATCTCTATAGACCAACATCTTCTGTAAAACTTGTTGGCTCACTGTGCTCTTTAAATGTAGTCTAGAGTATACTGATCATTCTACACCTTTGGGTCATCAGGAACATCCAAAGATCAGCTTGGTGTGTCTAAAACCCTTTTAGCTATCAGGGCAGCTATCCCAGGGTACAAGGAAGCACTGTTCCAGTGGAAGTTTTAATAGCCAAAAGTCATTAGACTGCCATGTATATGTTCTAACTGGCCAATGGAGAGGGGGAAAAAAGGTGCAGGTTAGTAGTGGCAAATCTCTGAGTGAGAAAGACACAGGAATTCCATGCTAAAACTGCTTGAGGTCATGAGGGAGAGAGACAGAACAGGGACAGGATTTACATTACACAGCTGACAGAGAAAAGTCGAGAAAGGGAGATGAGGCTTTGGTACCTTTATCAGGAGTAAAGTAAGTTAAGGTGCAAGTCCATGTCATTTCAAAAGCTTCCAGTTTTCCTGGTCCTTAGTAGCCATGTAGTGAAGCTGTGTAAGTAAGTGTGCCACAGTATCACCAAGAAGTTGTTGTTCCTCTTTTTACTTCAGGTCATTGTGGTCCAGAAATTGTTTTCCCTGTATTGGTGGTGCTCAGGGAGAGCTTCAGCCACTCTCCCATCTCAGATGATGGCATTGCAGATCTTATGGATGATGCAAGATTTTAGAGGCACAGTAATAGATGAGAATATGGAGCAATTTTATCTCTCTGTGTCAGCTATAAACTTAATCTATAATGGTTTCAGCTTCCTGACAGGTAGGGAATGAAATATTGTAGAGGTGAAAGCCACTGTGCACAGATAGGGCTAATACCTCCAGTTCTGTTCTCGTGGTCTGACGTAAAGCTACGTAAGTCAACAGGAATCTGATCAGTCACTTGAGCACTCTCTGGTTGAAGACATACTTGCTCTGGGAGGTTTTCACAGGCCTTCTTCAGTGACATGTGAGATTTCACCTGATTTCAAGAAATGTAAGTGAGAAGTGGAGTAACAGATCTTAGCCAGACAACGCATGTGTATCAGTGTACCTGGAACAAGACACATGTCTTAGTTCTTCTTAGAGCTGCAGATGTGTTGCAATTCCAATCTGTTTCTCTCACTTTAAGACATCACCTTCTACTATCAGTATGATATACACTATGATCTCTTACCCTCCGCTGATTTCATCCTTTACACTGATGCTAAGGGATGAGGGTGCTGGATGGGGGTTATAGTGAAAGACTAAGCTCTGTTTTCCACTACTGCTTTGCAGCAACAGACAAGCATATTCCCCACCAGAAAAACATGGCTAAAAATATATACCTACTGCCATGAGGAAGGAAAGATGGTTGGGGGAAGGCATTAACATTTCATTGGATAAATCTGATAAAACTGCAGCTACTGGCCCAATCGCCTGCGTGTAACCAATTTAGTGTAAGAAGATGAAATTTTCTTTACCATCTCCCACTTGGGAAATAAAATCCTAACAACAACAAACCCTTTACTGAAAGCTAGTGAACTAATTGCAAACATTGATTGCAGATGGCCTTATAACTCTTAGATGCTGTCAGCCTTAACTAGCGGTGGATGACTTCTTTATGACAACAGTGAATGATAGCGTATGTGCCTTCTCCTGCTCTCCTTTCAGCTGGGATAGTTCCTCACTCAGCACCTCTAGGGCTCTAGCAGTTGAGATGCAAAGTCCTTGAATGATGACAACTGCATTCGTTGGGTCCTGACACTTGGAGGACGTTATGCTAGGGTCGGATATCCTGAATCCTCAAGATGGAAGAAGGATGCTTATGTGCACCTGAAGTGTCGAGCCTGGGATGAAGTCCCTCTGGATCCCAGGCCCTTGGGAGCAGTGAGAGTGAGGGGAGAGACAGAAAACAAGACCAGTTGAGGGAGATTTCGTGCTGCATCCGTAATGTGTTGCTGTCCTGTCTGAAAAACAGTATTATGATGCTGCGGCAACAGAACCATTGTACTCTTTCAGTCTCCAAGCCCTGAAAGATTCAGTCAATATCATACAACACTAGCGATAATGAGCAGTCCCAGGAATCTTCTAGTCACAATTTGTCTACAACAACAAAACCCATAGAATTTTCTTTTTTATTGCTTCTTTCTCTCTTTTTTTTCACTATTAGTCAGCTCACTTTGCCCTCAAGACTGGCGTAGGACCTCAGTCCTCTCCCTTCCACTGTGTGACCAGGCACAATCTGAGCCCAGAACTCAGGGCTGAAGCCCTGCACAACCAAACTTCCACAGACACTTGGCATTTGGCTCTGTGGAGCCAAATGTAGAAGACGCTGGGAGCCATGAGTGTTCAGGGACTTTGAGAGAAAACACCGTATAGTTTCATAATATGACCTTGGAGAGCATTCGGGATTTCTAGTATTCTGATTCCAAGTGAATAGTTTCTGAGATGGGTTTGCACATAACAAAGGAGCAGAAAGGAGTAATTCTTTAATAGCTATCCAGACTCATTCATTTTCGATATCTCCTTTCCAATTACAATACAAATTCTTTCCAAAAAATGCTTATGTTCTGATCTGGTTGCTTGTTTTAAATAAACAGATGAGCAACACTTCACTCTTTCTAAGAATCAGAAATCTTCTGCAATCTGATCCTGAGCTGTGCGAGCATGGGTTTTGCATCTAAATTGTTACTGAGTGGTCTGGTGAACACTAATTAGCTAACAGGCTGTGATGATTCAGATGTTTGGTATTCGTTTTTCTACAGTGTCTCAAGGTTCACTTAAGTCTTGTAGCATTTTTTCCTCTCTGTGTATGGATGAGAGACTTTTTTAAACAAAGGGATAATGAAGGGAAAAATAACAAACTCTGACGTGCACACTTTTGACCTGGATTAGCTAAAAAGAGATTTCTTTTACAAGAACGGCCATGACTCAGATGTTGTTTCTGAACAAAACCCTCCTTGTGAAGCTCAGAAAGGTGTGAAGATAATCAAACCAAACAGGTCCTGAAGATCAAACTGAGCTTTAGGGAGCTGCAGAATTCAATATCACAGCATTCATCTGGCCCTGCTGATTAGGGTTGAACAGTAACTGGCAGTTCAGGGACAGTACCAGCTATCTGTAAAAAACAGTGTGATACCATCTCAATTTGCAGTCATCACCTGCCCCAGAAACTACAGCCAAGAGTGCCATCAGCAGCTGGAAATCAAACTTGGCTGACCCAGTAAAACATCTGATTTGAAGATACTGATTCTTAACGTCATTCAACCAGACCTCAAGATCCAGCTTGCATCCTTTGCTTCAGCTGTCAAAGCCTCATGTTTCAAATCCAGTTGCTGTTGATCTTTTTCAGTAGAGATGCCTCAGCTAAAAAGACAACCAGGAAACCAATCTGTAATACCAATAAAACCATGGGCAGGACAAGGAAGACAAGCTGTGAGTTCTGAAGGACATTGTGAAACTACCATAATGTATGTATCATCAGGAGCAGTTGTTATCTGTCCAGTGATAGTTGTTATCACACATTGATGCACATTCTTCCGTGGTCCATCATACGTTGCTCACAGGCTTTTTTGAGTAACCTAGAAATTGCACACACAAAGTCATGTTAAGTGTAGGGTCTGGCCCATGGCTCAAAGACAGCACTGTCTCTATGAAGGTCAGATGGAACAGTTTGAGCAGGCAGGTAGGTATTTACTTGCCCTGCATGAATAGCCATCGCACAGGTCTCTGTTCCCATGTATCTGAGCCTCAGCCAGAATTCCCTATGTAGGCTTTTCTGGAAGAGCAATAAATGCACACTGTTCTAGCACAGCTGCTGCTTCTTTCAGACATCCATGGAACAGGTGCCCGCAGGACCTGACTTCATTGTGGACAAGATATGGGTGTTTTAACCTCTGCTCCAGTTAGTTGTGATTTTTTCCTGATTTGTATTTGTAATACTCACTTTTACAGTCTCTCAGTGAAGAGGAGATCATTCATCAGGCATTTCCGGGCATCTCCCATACAATCTTTGGAAAGACTGGACTTTGAT